GCCAACATTCATACGGCTTTATTGCTTGATTAAATTACACCACTCCAGAACATTTAATCCTACAAAATTTTAAAATTATTGTGGTTATCAAGTGTAAAGATTTTGAGGGCCAAAAGGAAAGTGTTCTGTCTTAGGCTTATCACCTGCAGAATACTTTGTGCTATTTCATAAGCACATAAGAATTTGCTAGGCGAAAGAAAACCAAGGTCCATCTAGCTCAATTTCCACCATCACCACCACCTTCCAGTTATTTGACATTTTGTGTCCAAACCTATATACTGCAAACTCCTAATAGTGGGTATCTATACTTGGGTGACTTGTGGGGGGCCTAATTTGCAGTATTCACAGAACAGATTTGAAACATCATTTCCAACAGTTTGTCAGTGTGAAAATGGCTAGAGAGGGAAATACCACCTCTTCACAATTGTTACTGTAGGCATTTGCTCACAGCCCACAACCTCTGAAAATTGCAGACCCCATTTGCAGCCATACAAGCTGACCATAGAGGCTCCTACTGCAACAACTACTTGCATTTACACTTACACAGGGTAGCATCCCAGAGTGCTTTACAATGGCGGAGCATGACACCGAGGTAGGGGGAGGTGACTGTAAGCACGGTCGAAAAGGAAGGTCTTCAGGCCATGCCTGAAGATAGGGAAGGATCTTGAAATCAATCCATTCGGTGACAGGAAGTCGGTGGAACCTGGCAAGAACTTGTGTGATGGGGTACAGAGTTTGGTGCGGGTGAGTATTTGGGTGAAGGAGTTTGGGATTAACTGGATGGAGCTGCGGTGACCGTTGAGGAGGACATTTGAATAATCAAGGCAAAAGGTGATGAACGCAAAGTAGTTGGGCCTACACAAAACTTGTTGCGTTCCGTTCGTGGCTTTAACTGTTTTTCTTTCTGATCACCCCCTGTTGAATTAATACAGTAAAAGTAAGAACAGTGTAGATTGCAGTATAGCATTAGGCAACATAACCTCAGTGCTGAAGTAGTAAAAATAAATGTTTTGATTTGATTAATTTATGCTGTGGCATTTGTATGATTGTGTTCTGCACTCTTCACTTGGCTACGGTTACATAGTTAAAATAAATTTACTTCCACTGATTTACAGAAATTAAGATTGTAGGTCAATGGGGAATTTTGGGGGGGCAATGAGTGTCTGACAGTTGCGGAAACCCATCACTATAAATTGCTCATTCATTTCAAGGCTGTTTATTGGATACTGCTGTGCACAAAATTGGCGGCCCCATTCATCCACAAAATACAGTCGTTGCATTTCACAGTAAATGTTGTGAATTACTTTGGAACATCTTCCCATGTTTCACTGGAGTTACTGAGTTATTGTAAAGTGTAGTGACTGTAGTTGTAGGTAAATACAGCAGCCAATTTGTACGCAGTAATGTCCCACAAACAGGGAGTGGACGTGGGAGGGTGGCCAAAGGCACGGTCGAAGTGGAAGCTCTTTAGACAGGACTTTAAAAAGGCAAGAGAAGGGGTGAGGTGGAGGGATTGCAGGATAAAGTTCCAGAGAGTGGGGGCAGAGATGCTGAATGCCCGACTGCCAATTGGAGGGCGGGAAGTGTGGGGGACCTGAAGCAGGCTGGTGTCCACTGAGCAGAGGGAACGGACAGCCTGATACGGGGTTAGGAGGTCGCAGAGGTAGGTGGGAGCAAGACTGTGGAGGGCACTGTCTTGGAGTTTCAGACAAGATTATAAACTCAAAACCCCAATGTGAGGCTTTACCTACAACTGTCAGGCCAGAGTGTTACCAACTGATCAAGATTGACACCGCACTGCCCCATTGACTGATATGTCACTCCAAGTCCTGATGACAACCCAGGCTGGCACATGTGTCTTCAGCAGTGCCGTGGAATAGTGCGGCCTGACGTGGCTCAGGAACTGGACTAGTGACCGACCAAACAATTTCACTCGATTTGGAATCACATTGGAGCACGCTATACCTTCATCCTCTAGCCCTCCACCCTACCACTGGAAGATTTTTTTAATACTTAATATGTGCAGGTTTTAGGTCTTACTAACAAAATGGGTAAGTGATTCACTCACTGGGGAAATAAATGCAAGATATAAAAGAGCAAAAAATTTGTTAAAATTTGGTTTCTTCTGTTCCACTAAAAATAGAACCCGTTTATCTATCCGTTCCTTCTGGAAAATTAATATTGTACAAGATTATGCATGAAGATGGTTAGCTTCAACAATCAAATCTCTAAATAGTCTCTGGCAGACAAGGGTCATCTTGCTGCACTAATCCATTCTCATCCTGACCCATTTCCATTAAGGTACAAGGAATTAAAAGCTTTATAAAGTAGAACTCCCTGTATAACAGTTGCATCTGATGATGAAACTTTGATTAATGTGTGCTTGTCAATAGAGGTCATCATAACATACAACTATGACTTCCTCAGCAGTTCATACGGTGGACAGAACAGCTAGGATACTACCCATCCTGTGGTTGGTGGTGAAATCATGCTGTTGTGAGAAGTCTCAAAGCAGTTAACTTGGGTCTGGAAACAAAGCTTCAATTACCTTCAAATGTGTTCCCATATAAATGCCAAAGGAAATAAACATTTGGCTTTCCTAACTGAATTGAATAATGTTGACTTTCATGCATATTTCCAGTCAGTTATTAACACTTTTGCTTCTGAATCAAATAGTTGTGGGTTCAAGCCCCGTTTTTCAGGACTTGGAGTTCATTCTCTAGGCTGACACGCCATTGCTGGGGGTATACTGCATTGTCATTACGGTTAGACCATATGGTTTCCTTTTCCAACACCATATTTTGTGGTTGGAAATTCTGAGATTGATTCTCGTCATTGGAACAGTGTCCTTCTCTAATGTGTCGATGTCAAACACCTCACCTTATGGAAACTAGCATGGACAGGTGTCTACTCTTAATTGAGCCATTCAAAATGGGTATAGTTTAGAGCAATTTGGCACTGTAGGTGACAAGAGCAGTATTTTACTTTCCAAGGTAGAAGTAATGGAATACATCACAGTAGGTTTGGAGGAACTACAAAGGAACTAACACCATGAGCAAAAAAGATCCTTCATAAGGTGGTGCTCGCAGGGTCTTTGAAAATAATGGCTTGCTGGGGCAAAAGAGATAACTACAGATGCAAATGTTGATCAGCCAACAGATATCAAGGTGTATTCTTGCTGAACTCCTCAAGCCCAGCATATCACATGGTAGGGTGTCAAACCTGGAGTGGCACTGAAATGGTTAACTGCTAAATGATTCAGTGCTGGTAGAAGAAAAAACTGTTTTTCTTCAGATGAAGACATCCAAAAAATCTATAAACATGAAATCAGCCTAATTTGCAGGCAGCTTTGAGAAGTTGTTCTCTGTGAAGAGGGACTTTTCTGAATGTGGATTGTTTGCAAAATGTTTTTTAATCATTCTCTCAGCTTGTTTCACTTGCCTTCCCTGGTACTGCCAATGAACTCTGAAAATTTTATTTTTGTTTTTCAAACCTGAATGAAGGATCTTATTTGTAATTGTTTTCTTATCATTAAGAGTTACTTTGTGCTTCAAAGCTCTTCCATCCATTCCTTTGTCACAGCATTGATTGCTAGAGGGGATGTCAGCTCCCTCCCTATATTGTAAGCTTACCAACAGATAAGATTTTACAATTGGAGGTCTGTCACTGGGTGTTCTGAAACGGTGCAGACTGATGAATTTGTGTGTGAGCAGCAGTGGAACATTTGAGATAAAAAAGGCTATTGACAATTGTACTTTCTGCCTGAGATGCCCTGTGTGGTCCTTGCAAATAAACTTGTTTCCATGTCTAAGGCTCACCAAGAAGCAGTAAATAAACACTGGTGTTAAAACTTTTGAAAAGTACTGGCATCAGTGAGTAAACTAGCAGTCAGCCATCACCAAGCAGTTAATGTGGTGTAATTGATGGTTTTACAAGGAAGCTTTTTTAAAAAAAGGACCTTGGAATTTTACACCTAAATGAACACTTTTGCTCCCCATTTACACCATACATCTTGTTTAACATTAGTAATAGAGTGCTCTGAAATTGGACCCCACATTGTTAAAATTATGTAGGCCAGTCTGGATTTGATTTTAAAAATATTTGCTTTTTTACAAAGTTCCAATGTGACGCAAATATGTTGTATTGATTCAAAATAGTTTTATTTTGATAATGCCGGAAGCTGAAAAATCAAGAAAAATTAAAATATGTCATTGTGCTTTGAGAAATCCTCCTGACAGGTTTCTTGTTTTTTTATTATTATTATTGTTATTATTGAAACAGTGTGTAGTGTGACTAAAGGTGAGTGAGATGGAGGTGGAGGACCCTAAATACATGCTTGTAGTAAGAGACTCAGCAATGGGAGTCAAACAAGTGCTTTTACATGGGCAATAAGCATGGATAAATTATTATTACCATTGAAGATTTCTTTTGGGTTTGTGTCCTTCAAGTGCAAAAATTGTCGTAAGGGAAAAATATGAAAAATGAATCATCTATCTAGTGAAAATCGAGGGAAAAAAAATCGATCCATTTCTAGCATCGCTAATAGTATGCCAGGCTGTCTAGTCATGATTGTTGTTGACTTGCCCTGTTCTTGAAAAACACTGTGTGCATAGCATGAGGTTCCTCTGGAGTACCATAATTTTCCCACTCCCTTTACCTCCTCCCCCTCAATGCACAAATAACCGAACACTCACTGCTTAGGCTCATATTGTAAAGAATATCCTGAGCAGTTTGAGAATATACCTGAGCAGTTTACTGAAAATTATTCAGTGGAAATGTCTCCCAGTGGAAAGAAAAATTAGGGACTTTTAGGATCACTGTTTGCATTTAAAAAATAATTAAATTTGCAGATTAAACAAAATGTGTTATTGAAACAGCATGAAATATTAACCCAGGTCAGCACTTAGTCAATAGTGTTCTGTTGTATTGTATGTTTTACAGAAAACTGTTAATTTTACCATTCAGTTTAACATGTATTTTGTTTGCTCTTCTGCATTCAGGATGCCTCGATTGCCCACAAATTCCACATCATGCGAGAAAAACATCCTGAGAAGTTCAACAGCAGGTAAGAGAAGTTGAGACCTGGAGCACAGTGACATTCTTAATAACTTGGTATTTACCTGAAAATAGTTGAACTACTGTGTTTTGTTTGTTTCTTTGCCTTGTTAAAGTTGAATTTTGTGTGTAATTTTGTTGAGAATAAATATGGAGCTATGACATCCCTCTAACTCCTACTCTCCCTCCCCATGTTTAAAACTGACCTCACGACTTGCCTATTTTACCACACTTCCAGTCATCATTCCCCCTCCCTCTTCAGAACCCTTTCCAGCTCTACTCTCTTCCCCCCCGAACCTCCACCCCCAGCGTACAGCGCTTTGAGACATCTTCTTGATGTGAAAGGCACAGTGTGATTAGAAATAGTATAGTATTTATAAGCTGAATGTGCTCAGTGATTGCTGAGAGTGTTGGTAGGCTATTTAGCATATGAGGGTCATCATAACTCAAGCCCATTCTTTCTTTGCCTGAAGTTGATGGTCACATTTTCCAGCAATAGTTACTAGGTGGCAATGAGGAATAGGAATCTTGAATGAAATGTTTCCCTTCCCTCGGCCAGATCCCTGATGTTCATTGGTGTATTCTCAGTGAACCCCAGATGAAATGAACTAGTTCAGCACAAAGTAGAGAGCGAATCTGGGACCATCCAGAGCTGTATAGCTTACTTTCACACTATGCTGACAAAACCATTGGGGAACCTGAAAAGTGGCATTTTTAACTTGTGTAATTTTGTACAATGTAATTAATGTTTTGACTTTTTTGGGGGGTTTCATTTAAAGTATTTTATTTACAGCATCACGTTTCTAAAACACCACGTGCTGAAGAATTTATAAAGTAGTATCGAATGCATTCATCAGCACTTTTAATATCTTAGAAATCTGGGTTATCATACATTTTATTATACGCATTTGCCTCAGTTTAGACTCCTTATTTCATAATTAAGTGGAAGTACAAGGATGAGCATTGTTAGCTAAAAGCAGTGAAGTTTGAATTATAATTGTATTAGAGATTTGTATTAGAAGTTCAGTGAGGATTCCTTCAGAGTGTAATTATTCAAGGGTGACTCTAATTGTGAAAGCCTGAAGGTGCAGTTATCAATAATGCCAATATATGCTGGCGGAAAACAAGATTGATCACAACTGAATGCAGAGCAAATATGGAAATATCTGAATCATTCCAGGTTTGGATACAAATGTTGTACTCGACCTGAGGCAGTTTTTATTTAAATGACTGTCCTGGAGGATCATGAAAGATTTGCAGTGTTGTTTTGCTTGACTACAATAGCATGCCAGAGATTACTGAGGAAAACAGATTGTGTCTTTCATTACTGTTCTTACCTAGAAAAAGAGGCACTAAAGATCCTATCCACCAGTAAGGCAAATTGAGATAGATTGTAATCCCTTTGGGAAAGGTCTTTAGAGTTTAGCATCTAATCTAAATGGCAGTTCCAGTTAAAAATGCTGCAACAATTGTTTTTCACTTGGTTGGAAGAATTGCAATGTGGATAAGCAATTTTGACACAGGTTCAATACATTTTTATTGGCATTATCAAACACCTCAGCATTCATCAGGATGTCACCATCTTCTTCATTTGTGAAAAAGTGCAGACATTTATCAAACCCCCATTTAATATTGCTTGATTTGGATAATTCCAAATTACTTGGCAAGTGAACAGCAGCAGACCAATAATCATTACACGGTATTGATGTGTCGGAGAGGGGTCAGAGAAGAACAACATAAATGACTGATAGACTCAAGACTGCTATGCTATGTGGAGAGGCAATCAGATCTGCACTTGCTTTCATTGTAGAAAAGAAGATTGTGGGTTCTTTAAAATGCTCAAAGACATAGGATGATCCATTTGTAAGCAAATTATTTATCTTGGGCAGCAAGTGTGGAACTACAGGATATAGGTTAAAAATTAACCAGCCTCAAGCTACACAAAAGATTAGAAGGCTTTTTTGCCTTCTTAGTGGATCTGTGGGACTGACTTCCAACAAAAAACATTCACTACTGTGTCAATTAATTCCTTCAAAAAAAAGCACTGAACACATTTCCTGTTGGGAGTAGTATTGAAGACTATGGGGATATGTTCAGACTGAGGAAACCAAATGGTCTGGGGAATAAAATTGTGCTCTAGGGACAGGGAAGCAGAAATGTCTGTTGATGATGGCAGGTCAAACTAGAATAATGAATAGGTGAAATGTGGGGATGAATGAATGCAATCAAGTTTTTGTTCAATTATCCTCGAGAACCATAGAATGTTTCTGCAGAATTTTACATACAGAAGATTTGTGAGTGAGATGAAGGCCACAATGAGAAGTTTGCATGGTCTATGGAAGTTATGGTGTGGGATCAATTCATTGATCTTTGAGGGCTTTGTACCAATTCATACATTATTTTATTCAATATCTGCTAGCAATTACATAGCTTTGTTTGTAAATAATCCAGGAGGTTTATCCTATTCTTTGCTATCCAGACTACAATGCTCTATTGCTCAATGAAAGTGCTACAGGTTGTGAAAGCTGATAACAACAAAATCATCATCATTAATAATAAATCTCTAATAATACTTATATTTGATGTAGCGTCATTCACATTGGGACGACGTCTTTCGTTGTGTTTGTTGCATGTGAATGTGACAATAATGTCTCACAAACAGCCAGGAATTGAATGATCACTTTTTTTATTTGGGTGTTTGTTAGTCAGGATAATAATAATCCTTGCATTTGATATAGCGCCTTATATATCTTTTTTTTTCTTTGAGACATTCCCCTGACGTGAAAGGGATTATACAAATGTAATCTTGTTGCTGTTGTTATCACATCTTCAAGTCTCAAAGCGCTTCACAGGTATACTGTAAAGTGAATTGACTGTATATATTGTGGGTGAAACGAGGCAGCCAATTGCGCACAACAATTGCCTTGTCCCACAAACAGCAGTGTCCCACAAACAGTTGTGGATTGAAGTGACCAATTTATTATGATTTTTTTTAAAGGAATTAGTACCCCGGAAAAGCGATCCATCAGTCGACTAACAACCAAGTTCCTGCTCAGGCGTGTAGAGTAAAGAAATTTGCCCAATATTTCGCCCTGCCGGGAATCGAACCCAGGTCTCTCGCTTGCGAGGCAAATGCTCTAACAACTGAGCTACATTACGCCAACAACAACAATAAACTTATAGAGCGCCTTTCACATCAGGAGGACATCCTAAGGCACTGGACAGTCAGGGGTCAGGACCTGAGCATGGGGGAGGGGTGAGGGAAGACAGAGAGGTGGGAGGGCAACCAAAGGCATGATCGAAGAGAAGGGTCTTGAGACTGGCCTTGAAGAAGGCCTGGGAGGAAGCGAGGTGAAGGGACCATGGGATGGAGTTCCAGAGTGTGGAGGCAGAGAGGCTGAAAGCTCGGCCACTGATGGTAGGGTGGGTCGGGCGGGAGACATGGAGTAGGCCGGAGCCCGCTGAAGGGAGGAAGTGGGCAGGTTCGTAGGGAGTCAGCAGGTCAGAGAGGTAGGAGAGGGCAAGGCCATGGATGGCCTTGAAAGTGAGGATGCGGATCTTGAATTCAATCCTCTGAGGGATGGGGAGCCAGTGGAGTTGTGCAAGGGTGGGAGTGATGGAATCACGGAGCCTGGTACATGAGAGTAATAATAATAATAATAATAATCCTTGCATTTGATATAGCGCTTTTCACGTCGGGAGGATGTCCCAAAGCGCTTCACAGAACACACTGTAAAGTGAATTGACCGTATATTTGTGGGCGAATATTTGTATTTGTATTTGTGTACATGAGCTGCAGAGTTTTGGATTATCTGCAGCTTGCGAAGGGAAGAGTTGGGAAGGTCGATGAGGAGGTAATTTCTATAATCGAGCCTTGATATGATGAATGTGTGGATGAGAGTCTCAGCAGCCTGAGGGGTGAGGCAGTGGTGGCAATGTTGCGGAAGTGATGGTTGGCAGTTCCGATCATGGCGCAGATGTGCGGGAGAAAGGACAGTTCAGGGTCAAACAAGTTACCCAGGTTCCTGACTGGCTTAGTGAGGTTGAGTGTGCAGCCGTGGATGCTGATGCTGCCAATGCCCGAGGTGCGGAGGTGCTGGCGCGAGCCAATCAGGAGGGCCTCGGCTGATGTTCAGTTGGAGAAAGTTGTCCCTCGTCCAGGACTTGATGTCGGACAGGTCAGGACACCAGTAGTCCTGGAGTTGAGGGTGAAGGCAGAGAGATAGAGTTGGGTGTCATCCACATACATGTGGAAATTTACCCCATGTCTGCGGATGACTTCACGAAGGGGGAGCATGTAGAGTGTGAAGAGGAGGGGACCGAGGACAGAGCCCTGAGGAACGCTGCACGAGATGGTGCGGGGGCTGGAGGAAAAGCCGTTTGCTGTGATGAAGTGGAGGCGGTGTGAGAGTTAGGACCTGAACGAGTCAAGAACAGAACGTTGGAGGTTGAGTTGAGCAATAGGATACCAGGAGAAATTCCCTTCCCATTTTGAATCTTTAACGTGCATTTGAACAGGCAGATGGGACCTCAGGTTTTTTTCCCTGCTCTTTCACATTCTCTTTTGTACATTAGCCTGGCTTAGTAGGTAGCGCTCTCACCTCTGTGGTCAGGTAGTTAAAGGTTCAAGATCCACATTTGGACTTTGAACTCTGTGTAGCCCGATACTGCGATGCAGTTCTGAGGGTGTGTTCCATTGTCGGACATGCCATCCTTCAGATAAGCTGTTAAACCGAGATCCCACCTGTCTCAGGTGACATTAAAGATCCAAAGGCACTATTCGAAAAGAGTTGGGAATTTATCCCGGTGTCCTGGCCAACAATCCTCCAAAAATTTGGTCATGACTGTTTGTGGACATTGCTGTGTGCCAATTGACTGCCGCATTCACCTGGAAATACAGTCACTATACTTCACAGTAAAAGCCTGTGAACTTCACAGTGAAAACGCTTTCAGCTGTTTTGATGACACAAGGCACTTTATCATATGCAATTATTATTGTGGTAAAACTCG